CTAGCACCTGCAGAGAGCAGCCAGAAATTAAGGAAGGGCCAAAGACTTTGAAGAGATATGGATTAGATTATCAGGACAAACATGAGAAACACAAAGAACTTAGGGCTAGATGGGCAGAAGAGGCGGTATGCGGAAGGGGATGGGAAGGTTCCCGTAGAAGATTCCTGTAGAAGTGGCCAAAGTGCTACAGGAGCACCAGGGGCCTGGGACGGTTGCAGAGGACATTGAAGGGGAGCAAAACTGTGAGAGCAAAACTGGCTGGGCCAATAGGTCTGCAGTCACGACCATCCTAAGCCAAGCGGGGGCTGTTGCCTCTTGAAAATGCATGGGGCCAGCTGAGCCATCAGGTTGATGACGTGGGGAGTAAAACGGGAGAAAAGGCAAGTATACTCACTAACAGGGACCTGCCTACAGTAAGTGTCAGAGGCTTCCTAACTGGAGGCTCTGGAGGGGGCAGGCACTGTGGTTTTACTGTGTGTGTGTGTGTGTGTGTGTGTGTGTGTGTGTGTAAAGCTTCAAACCCACAAAAAGCAGAGAAAATAATGACCCCCATGTATACTTCCCCAACTTCAGCAGTTACGGTAGATGGTCATTCTTGTTTACCCCCACACCTCTGCCCATTGCCCTTTGCCCTAGATTTTTAAAAATATTTTTAAATTTAAGTCCAAGTAATTAACAGGGAGTGTGTTATTGGTTTCAAAGGTAGAGTTCAGTGATTTATCAGATTTATATGATAGCCAGTGCTCATTACATCACGTGCCCTCCTTACTGTCCATCACCCAGTTACCAAATCCCCCCAACACCTCTCCTCCAGCAACCCTCAGTTTGTTTCCTATGATTAAGAGTTTCTTATGGTTTGCCTCCCTCTCTGATTTCATCTTGTTTTATTTTTGCCTGTCTTCCACTATGATCCTCTGTTTTTCTCTTTTTAATATTTTATTTATTTGTCAGAGAGAGAAAGAGCACAAGCAGGGGGAGTGGCAGGCAGAGGGAGAGGGAGAAGCAGGCTCCCCACAGAGCAAGGAGCCCGACAAGGGACTCGATCCCAGGATCCCAGGACCATGACCCAAGGCGAAGATAGCCGCTTAAACTACTGAGCCACCTAGGCATCCCAATCTTCTGTTTTGTTCCTAAAATTCCACATACGAGTGAGATCATATGATAATTGTCTTTCTCTGATTAACTTATTTCACTTAGCATAATATCCTCTAGTTCCATCCACGTCATTGCAGATGGTAAGATTTCTTTTTTATGACTAAGTAGTATTCCACTGTGTGTGTGTGTGTGTGTGTGTGTGTGTGTGTGTGTGTGTGTACCATGTCTTCTTAATCCATTCGTCTGTTGATGGACATTTAGGCTCTTTCCATAGTTTGACTATTGTGGACGTTGCTGCTATCAACATTGGGATATAGGTACTCCTTCAGATCACTATATTTGTATCTTTGGGGTAAATACTTTGTAATGCCATTGCTGGGTCATAGGGTAGCTCTATTTTCAACTTTTTGAGGAACCTCCATGCTGTTTTCCAGAGTGGCTACACCAGTTTGCATTCCCAACAACAGTGTAGGAGGGTTCCCCTTTCTCCGCATCCTTGCGTTTCCTGAGCTGTTAATTTTAGCCATTCTGTCATTTCCTGAGTTGTTAATTTTAGCCATTCTGACTGGTGTAAGGTGGTATCTCTTTGTGGTTTTGATTTGTGTTTCCCTGATGCCCAGTGATGTGGAGCATTTTTTCATGTGTCTGTTGGCAATTTGTGTGTCTTCTTTGGAGAAATGTCTGTTCATGTCTTCTGCCCGTTTTTAAATTGGGTTTGTTTGTTTGTTTTCGGTGTTGAGTTGTATAATTTTATTATATATTTGGATACTGCACACTAAATGACTAAGACAATATCATTTGCAAGTATTGTTTTCTGTTGCTGTGCAAAAGCTTTTTACCTTGATGAAGTCCCAATAGTCCATTTTTGCCTTTGTTTCCCTTGTCTTTGGAGATATGTCTAGCAAGAAGTTGCTGTGGCCAAGGTCAAAAATGTTGCTACCTGTGTTCTCCTCTAGGATTTTGATGGATTCCTATCTCACATTTAGATCTTTTATCCATTTTGAGTCTATTTTTGTGTTGGCATAAAATGGTTGCCCTGGATTTTTTGAAGCAAATCCCAGATAGTCTACTATTTTATAGAAGTTTCAGTATGTAAATCTAAATGATAAAGACTCTCCTTAAATGTAATCCTAATGACATCATCAGATCCCCAGATTCCTAAATTATAAATTAAATATAAATTGAATATCAGAGTATCAAATATTCAATCAGATAATCCCCTAAAAGGTCTTTCCTTTCATTTTTCCAGTTGGTTTAATCTGAAGCTAAACAATATCTCCTATTATGTGTTAAAATACCTTCCAAATCTCTTTTAATTTATAGGTTTCCCCTCTGTCTTTTTTTTTTTCTTCTTATAATCTTTTTTCTGCTGCTACTATTGTGGATGATGTTAAAGCTAGGTCATGTATCTCGGACTCTCCCATTCTTGGTTCTGCTGATGGCATCCCTGGGATGTCATTTGACTTGTTCCTCTATTCCCTATAGTTCTTATAAATTGGTAGTCAGATTCATGTAGAGTTTTCAGGTTGACTACCTCGCAGGTGGCAATGCATTCTCCACTGGTGGAAGACTGATGTCTGATTGTCCCTTTGTTGTCATGTTTGGCAGACTCTGATATCCTAAATTCTATCTTTCCTTCTGCACTTATGTAAGCCAGGATATTTCTATAAAGTAAAATCTCCTTCATCAGTCATGTGATTACCCTATAGTTCATAGGATATGTGCTTGATTTTTTTCCCTTTCCTTAACCAGTTTTCAAAATAATGAGTCAACCCCTAGAAACTCCTAAAGGCAATCAATGATGCTTTATTTTTATTTAGTACTATTTATAAATTTCTTAATATGAACATGTTTGATGTGTTTCAAGATGGGATATTTATAGATTTTTCAGGGTCTGGTATAAGATGGGTCCTTCAATGCTGACAGGCTGATTCGATTGAGCAATTTGGGCATGCCATAGTTGAGAATTCCTGGACACGGCAAGGGGAGGGTTTAAAGAGAGTCTTAAAGAGTGCATTCCTGTGATAAGTGAGTTGACAGATTGTGGGTCAGAGTAGGAGCTGTTATTCTGATGAGAACTAGTTGGGTAGTTGGTCCATTGCTCCAGTGAATGGATTCTTAGAAAATTCCTAAAACAAATAAAAAAGGTATTTGAAATATATATTTGGCATGAGATTTTCCCATGCAATCTGAGGTTTATTTATTTATTCTTTCAACCTTAGAATTTATTACCCTTAGGTCTTCAAATATTTCCTCCTCTCCATTTTTATATCACTCCTTTTCTGCTCTAGCTCTATCCTTGATATTAAGTAGGATATTTAAAATAAACTGCCTTGGGGCACCTGGGTGGCTCAGTCAGTTAAGTGTCTGCCTTCAGCTCAGGTCATGATCCCAGGGTCCTGGGATTGAGCACCACTCCCCGCTCCCTGCTCCACTGGGAGCCTGCTTCTCCCTCTCCCTCTGCCTGCTGCTCCCCCTGCTTGTGCTCTGTCTCTTTGTCAAATAAATAAATAAAATCCTTTAAGAAATTAAAACAAAAGCAAATAAGCTACCTTATTTCCTTTTCTTAACCTTTTCCTGCTGCCTCTGGAGAGTTGCTGAAACTTCTTCCCATCACTAATTCCTCCTCAGCTGTATCTGTTTTCCTATATGTATCCCACGTTATTAATACATAGCATCAACGAACATTAATTGCAATTTTTCATGCTTCATATTTCTCTTTGTTTTAGTTTCATGATTCATACACTGCTGTTGGCAAGGAACCACCTTGAAAGTGCCTGCTTGAGTACCTGGGTTCAACTCACAGTTTTAGAGCTTACTAGCATGCTTACTGGCATACGCCATCACTGCTTTGCTGTGCCTCAGTTTCCTTCATTGTTTCGCAGATAACAGTGACTTCTGCCTAATCGATTATTGAACAATGCTTGTGAAGCCCTTAGAAGAGAAGCCGGCACCTGGAAAGTGCCATTTACCATTAGCTACCTATGACCGTTCCCCACCCGCGGGGAAGGATTTGCAGAGACTTTCTACTTCGTACTCTCTGCAGTGGTCGACCCGTTCATTAGGATCGTGGCGGGCCCGGGTCTGCGCTTGGGTCGGGAAACGGGCGGGATACCCCCGCAGGTGCCACCGCCCAGGTGGTGGAGGCCTAACGCCCTAGAAAAAGGCGGCACTCCCGCGAACAGGTGACTGACCTGGGCAGGGCCAGAGCCGCTCAGGTGGCGCCCGGGGTCAAGTCCGTGGCTCTGGAAGGCGGCCGCGGGGCGGCGCTGCGTCTCTTCCGGCCGCTGGGCCTCCCGGCTCCGAGCTCCCCCGCCGCGGGCGCCCCGTCGGCTCCCAGTCCCCCGCCCGGCCCCGGAGCGTAGGATGCAGTGCCCCGGCGCCCAGTACCTGGTGAGCGATCTCCCCGCGCCCCGGAGCGACGGGGCTTCCCGGGAGTGCTGGGGGGGAGGCCCCGCGGGAGGCCTGGGGGTCCTGGGGGCAGGTTCTGGCGACCTCCTTGCACGATTCCGCCTTCCCCAATTCTGGCGGATACAGCCCCCGCCCCGGCGCCGCCGAGTCCTGGGGACACTTGGCGGGAAGGACCCCGCTCAGTGGCTGGGGCGGAGGCGAGGGAGAGGCTGGCTGCGGAGCACAAACTTGGGGCCGCCTGCAGGTGCACCTCCAGGTAGGGCTTGGCGGCTGGGGACTTCAGGTCCGCTCCGCACAGAGCGGGTGTTTCAAAGTCTCTGTTGAAAACTTCAGGGGGCCACGTTAAAAAATAAATAAAAGGAAAAGAGAGGAATAAGGAAAAGAAAGAAAAGTTACTTTGAACAGTGTTCAGTACGTTTGGCTGCAGGTTGGGACCCATAGGATTATTTATCCGCCTTTCCTCAAGTTCACCCCCGCGCCCCGTTTTTTTTTTTTTTCTTTTGTCTGGAAGGCTTCTGCAGAGAGAACCCCCCAGCAAAGAGAGTGGAGACCTCAGCTTTATAGGAAATGCACAGATACGACATGGCTATTCCTGTTCTTTCTCTTCTGGACTGGTTTGGTGAGTATGGGTGCCCAGTAGGGAAGAGAGCACAGCGTGTGCCCTGAAATGACTGGGCCCAAATAGCAGTCATCTTCCTGGTGCCTTCCCTGGGGAAGCCCAGGGCTCCAGGTGGTACCAGGTTAAGGTCTGTGCTGCAATGAGAGACAGCTGCTCTTACCACCGAAGAAACATCAGTCCTCAGGAGTTCCTGTCAGGTGACTGGCTAAGTTAGACAGTCTGTCTTACAGCATCAGGCCACATTCTAATAGGAGTCTCCATTAGGAAATGAGAATCACCTTTTAGGATTATTTATATGCTAGTGTGTGGTCCCCTATTATCTGAGCTCACTGCGTGCCAGTTCTTTCACCATCCCAGCCCTCCAAACGCAGTAGTTGGCACCTGTTTGCCATTCTTCTGATACAGAAAAATCCAGGGTGAGCCTATAGATAAATGGCTCTCACTTTAGCTGAGCATAATGTACACACGCTCGGTCTGTTGTGTTTAGCAGCTAACGGGGAAACGAGACTTTGATATAAACTCTAGTTAGATAGGTAATGATTTTTTTCCCATTCTAGTTCCAGTTAAATAGGATTGCTGGTAGACCTCTTCGGGCTGTGCCATTTTAGTCCTGGGAGGGTCTCTTGGCAGCTAAATCTTGGTGCTTTGATAACTTACTTTAGAGTTGAGGTCACAGCAGGAGGAGTCCCACTCAGCTTCTTGAAAGACCAGGTTCATGAGATGATCCATTCTGGATTGGGGCACACTGTTAGCCACATGGTTAATGATTAATTTACAAAGCAGCATTACAGCTACCCTGTAGTAATTACCTTTGTTGCTATACCATGTTTGGTTCTCTTTCCAAGTTCCTCTTTCTTTCAAAAGGCATTTTCATTTGTTGACTTTACCTACTGGTTTCTCTTGACCGATGTGGTTACAGGTAAGATGGAAGGTTGGGTCTTAAAGGTGTGGCTGAGTGCTGTGAGTTGTCAAGTCACCGCCCTCCAGGCCCTTCTGTAGGAGCCAGGAGAGTGTGTTCCTGCACTGCCTCCTCCTCAGCTTCCCTGCAGATGCTGCTGTTTCTCCGGGTCCCTAGTGTACAGAGGCAGTGAGCGCCTGTCCTGCAGATGCCCAGCAGCCTTGACCTCAGGCTGTTCATGTTACTTAGTGGTCTTCCCTACCCCCTCCAGGGTTCTAACCTAGGACATCACTACCAAACTCTCAGCCCAACAGCCATCTGGGGAAAGGATTCGTTGATGGCCCATCACAGCCTGAAGAATTAGGAACCATCCCAGAGGGGGCACAGAGCTGGAAACTGCTTTCAAATTACATGTCTTTAGCACGGTAGAAAGCCTTAAATATTCCTGCATTCTCTTTACTGTATTGCATTTGGATAATAATGAGAGCCCTTCAAGCCGACTGGCCTTTCCCATCTTCTGCAACATTTTTTAACCACGGATGCTTAAACCAGGGCAAGGCGTGCTTTTCTGTCTCTGCTGTTAGGCTTCCTGGTTTTCTGACGTGCTGATCGGTAACGAGGTGCATGCTAGACGGGGTGATTGATGGTGCTGCCCCAAGTTAGGACCAGAGGAGGTCTAGGGTGGGGAGTCAGAATTACAGCCAAGTACAGTCTGCTGCAAAGACAAAGGGTGCCGGCCTTTGTTTATATTTGCATAAGACACAGAACAGAATGTCTCAAATTCTGGACCATGTCTGCCTCTACTTACCTCTGCAGTGTTCTCCCCCATCTGCCCTCTCCCGTTCCTTTTAAAGACTCCATTTTCTGGATCTTTCATAGCACCTTGGTCGCCTCACCATACCTGGTATCCATCTGCTCCTGCTTTATCACCCATCGTATGGAACTGTAATTGTGTGTTGGGAATTAGAACAGAGTGATGGTTTAAAGTAGTAGTAGTAAGGCAGGGACTCGGTGTGAACCGATCCTTCCTAGCGTAAAACAAAACGAAGCTTCCACTCCTCCCTCCAGCTTCCCAGGGGAGATACTAACTACAGAATGTTGATAAGAGGAGAATACCCCTTCCTTATTAGCTCTCCGGTGAGCCTGGCAGCAGCCCCGCTTCCCTTTCCTTCAAGTCCAGACCCAGTCGGGATCCTCCCACACTCCAGAGAGCGGAGAAGGCAAGAGAAGTAGCTTGGGGCTGGGTCAGTAGCAGCCCACACCCCCTCTAAGTACCGGGTGGGGGAGCTGTCCACCAGCAAAGGTGGTGCTCTCTCAGTCCTAAAATCTGACCTGGAGCTGAGGGGGTGCTGGGATGGGCCGGGGACAGAGAGCCTGCCCATCTTCTGGGCTGTTTCCCGAAGGCAGGCACTCGATTTTGTTCATCTTTGTGGCCGCCTGGCAACATCTGGCACAGGCTGGGCACTTCAAGACTGTTACTTTGATTTCTAAATTAGTAGCGAATGAAGAGTATCTGCGACGTACTTGACTTTGGGACAACGCACCTTTGGGCCATGGGGTGTCATTACTGTATTTTATTGAGTGGTGTGGCATATCCACACTCCTGGAATGATTATGGCGGGACTGAATTACTAAATGCTCTTCTGTGCATTGTCAACTGGGAAGCTTACCACACTAAGAGGGCATTCTGGAAGATACACAGTCTTGGTGAAGGCATACAGTACGAAAGTCGTCTGAGCGGAAATTTCAGATATTCCATATTAATGATGAAATTGGATACTAGTGACTGTAGGTTGCAGGATGTTGTTGTCCAGAATTCCTGAGATCCTTTCTTTTGTGTATCTTAAGCACTTAACCCCCAAACACCATTTTCTCCCTTGCTATGGGCAGTATTTGATACACGTCTGCTGTGTTGCCTCTGTCCTCTGAGGGTCCGAGTCCCCTAAATAGAAGACAAAAGAAGAAGAGCAGAAAGGGTGGGGAGATGAGGAGAAGGGAGGGAGGGAAAAACGGGGAAGGCAGGAATGAGGGAAGGAAACTCCGGAAAAGGGAAGGGAAGAGGAAGGAGAGAGGGATGGAAGGAAGCTCTGGGGAGGAAGTAGTGCCCCAGGAACCCTTAGATAAAGCAAGAACCTGAGGGGGTGTTGAGTTGCCCTGTTAAAGTTAGACCCAGAAGGAAAAATGACAGACTCTTGGAAAAGATGGTAGGATGTGTGGGGGTGAGAACATGGAGAACAATCTGTTCAGCCCTAAAGTTTGTTCTCCCTACCTAACCTATTAAAACAGGTGTGAGAGTAACAGCGTCCTGACTGGGGTTCCTGACATTGTCGCTGAAGGAGAGTACCCGGTGATGCTGGGGAGCTTGGCCTTCTCCCTGGCTGCACTCTGTATCAGCACCCTCGGGGTTGGGGGGCGACTCCAGGGAGCAGGGTGGAGTGGAGGGTGAGGTCTAAGTCTTCAGCGCATGGGCCAGGCTCTCACGTGCCCCTTGGGTTTTGCCAGATGTTCATCACGGGCTACTCGGTGGCAGCAGGCGCCACAGCAAGACTTCTCTTTGGCTATGACAGCTTTGGCAACGTGTGTGGCCAGAAGAACTCCCCAGTGGAAGGGGCCCCTCTTTCAGGGCAGGACATGACCCTAAAAAAGTAAGTGTTCCAGTCAGTCCCCAACCTAGAGGGGCTGTACTATATTTCAGAACTGTATTAGTGAGCCATTTGGAGCCTTGAAACCAGTTCTCCTTTTAAAACTGTCAGCCTGTCTCATAAAAAGGGAGGCGTGTGTGTGGTTGGAAAGGCACAGGTCTTAGAGTCAGCCAGTCCAGAGTTCAGATTCAGCCTGTGCTACTTTTCAGCTGTGTGGCCTGGGGCAGAGCGCTTAACCTCTCTGAGCCAAGTTGTCATCTTTTCAACTGGTTATTCTACCTACCTCACAAGGATCCACTGAGATACCGCATGAGCTAAGGCTTTATGTTAGCTGCTGCTGTTCTCCGTAATGGATCAGATTCATGTCCCGTTATATGATACCAGTCATGCACCACCCACAGTATTTTATCTCAGTGGAAATCCCTGAATCCCAGCTGGGACTTTCGGGGAATGTGTCTCAGTACCTCCCCTGTCGAAACTCTCAACTACGACACTATGGTGTCAGCACCCCCTCCAACTCCGACACAGAAACAGAAAGAAGAAAAGAGAGACAGAAATCCCCGGAGGGAAAAAAATCCCCAGCCATGATGTTTCTAAGAGGAGGACTGCCTTGTCATAATTTTTGAGACTTGATCAAGAGCACCTTCTAGGAGAGAAAATTTATGGATCTAAATAGGTCCTGGGTGGCGCAGTTGTTAAGCATCTGCCTTCCTCCCAGGTCATGATCCCAGGGTCCTGGGATCGAGCCCTGCATTGGGCTCCCTGCTCAGTGGGAAGCCTGTTTCTCCCTCTCCCACTCCCCCTGCTTGTGTTCCCAATCTCCCTGTGTCTCTGTCAAATAAATAAATAGACTCTTTAAAAATAAGTAAATAAATAGGCCCTGAATATACATTTGAAATCACCAAATGCAAATCTCAGACCAGGCCTCTTCTACCCCTGAATGTTGCTGCTGAATAGAGGAGCTTTGCCCTGCGGGGCATGGACTGCTGTCTGGCATTTCCTCCTGCACCTGTGGGTCACTTACAGAAAAGAAGGAAGGGGCTACCCAGATGGACCCATGCATGCTGAAAAATGGTCAGTTCCTCTTGGAATTGTAAAGTATATATTTTATTCTCTGTAGCCAACAGGTAGAAGTAACGAGGCATCCCATCAGCAGATGAATGAATAAACCTCATGTTGTGTGTGTATGTGTGTGTGTATATATACACACAACATATATATATATATATTTTTTAAATGGGATATTATTCAGCCTTAAAAAGGAAGGAAATTCTGACACAGGCTACAACATGAGTAAATCTTGAGGCTATTATGCTAAGTGAAATAAGTTGCACAAAGAAAAATATTTTATGATTTCCCTCTCTGAAGTAACTAGAGTAGTCACATTCCCAGAGACAAAGCAGGATGGCACTTGCCAGGGGCGGGGAGCTTACTGCTTACTGGGTACAGAGTTTGGGTTGTGCAAGGTGAACAGCGTCCCATGGGGGTTTGCTGATGGGCACACAGCAGGGGGAACGTACTTACGGGCACTGCACTCTATACCTAAAATGGTTGAGACGGTAAAATTTTATGTTTTTTACCACAATTTTTTAAAGAGTAAGTAAAGTGTGCATGTATCGTATATCCAAGAGATCTGCACCCCCACTCCAGGTCCCTGCCCTAGAGGACGGCCTACTGAGCAGCCTCTGGGTCTCTTATGCTGTTCCCCCAATCTCCACAGCCGTGAGAGGTGTTGGGCATGGTCTGGGGCTACTACTGCTCACCTGGCTCATGACCCCACTAATGGCAACAACTGGCCTTGCTCTCGTCCCCCACCTACCCAAGCTGGAGTGGGAAGGGTCTCCTGAGCTTCCTCGTTCTCAAGCTGGGAAGCAGAGGGAGGGGCAGCCTATTAATTCACAGCCTCAGCTCTCCCCTTGTCCTTCTCACTTGCCTGTGAAGTTCAGCTGTTTCTCTGAAGGACACTCAGGTGCAAATATGTCCTCCGTGGGCTTCATTGAGTAGTTTCTGCACTGGCCTGATGTCGGGTCCCCTGGGAGATTTAATCAGTCCCTTTGCTTCCTCATTGACTTCCTCAGGTCATCCCTTAGTGTTCTCTCCCAGGAGAGACACTGGAGCCTGGTTCCTGCCCTGCACATCTCCATAGATGACCCCAGTAGGCATAATACACGGTAAATGAAGCATTTGGTTATAAACGTTTGCCTGTTATTCCCACGTTTAATAACATATGGATTTTTTTAAGGCGCATAATTAAACCCGATGAGAGGAAATGCTCTAATAGTCTTCTGTTTCCTCTGTTGCATAGACACGTGTTCTTTATGAACTCCTGCCACTTGGAAGTCAAGGACGTGAGGCTCAGCTCCACCATCCTCTGCGTGGCCAGCTGTCCTGGAGAGCAGCTTGATACCCTGGAAGAGGTCCAGCTGTTTGCAGACAACAATGGTGGGCACTGCGGGATGGGGCGTGCTTTTCTCCCTCAGGCTGGGAACCGCAGCGGGGTGACCACAATGGTGCCAACCTAGAGGAGACAGCTTGCCCTGACACTGCCTTCTCTGCAAAGCTGGAAATTGTCCTTCCTTGGGGCTGCTGCTTCTTGCCTAGGAAAGGCCATAATTGTTTTCTCCTGGGCTTGTGCACTGTTCATTCAGTGTTACCTAGAATTTATCTGAAACCCTAGCTGTTCTCTGCTCACTGCCAGGGAGTGGTCATCCCTACTGAGCACAGCGTAGACTGACCTGTAGGCCCCAGAGGCAGGTTCAGACAGAGGTCAGAGAGCTCTGTGCACATGGGCACGTCCAGTCCTAGAGAGGGGCTGCAGGCTCGGGGCTGAAATGCCAACAAGTAAGTTCTTTCATTAAAACGCTGGCCTGTGGATCCTTGCTCTAATCATGCATGTAACTGAAGTATCTAGCTCAGAGCCCACCCTTGAGATTTACGTTACAAGGATTAAACAAGCAGAGGAAAGTAAAAGAAATTCAAGGCCACCCATTGCAAGGTTTATCTGCGGGTGGAATGGTGTGCCCGATTTTGAAAAAATTATTTGCAAGGCTGGGTTAAAAATATCAAGCCTGGGCAATAAATCATCTTCAGAAAACTTCAAATGATTTTCCTGCCAATCCTATCAACTTCCAGTTTTGAATCAAGATTGGGGGGGGTAGGTAGAGAGAGAACCTAATCTGACCTCCAATTTGTATGATTTGTACGATCGTATGCTTTTTCTTTTTGTGTTTAGAACACCTGTAGACCTGTTTCTATATCTGAGTGATTAATTCCCTTTCCTTCCCGGTTTGGTGAAAGGTCTCCGGCTTTCTTCCTGGTTCCCCTACAAAGCTGAGCACAATGTAGGGAGATGGTACAATGTGTTTGTCTTCTGCTTCCAGGGTCCTTCCTGTGTGTTTATAGTTTGAATTCCGTCAACTACACCCAGAACCCAAATGCAGACTCACTGTGCCCCAGGCTACCAGTTCCTCCAAGGTAAGAAGCTTCCATTTTTCCTTCTCCATCCACAAAGTCATGGGGTATTTGACGTGCAACTGTTGCTGTGTGGGTATTGTCAGAAGCACAAAGGAGGTATCTGGTAGAGCCCACCGTCTAGAAAAGGCCAGGGAAAGGGCAAGGAGGGACTCTGCAACAATGGCATGGACAGTGGATTCGGAACCAGGCCACAAGAGGAGAAAAGTCAACAATGAAGGTGCACATTGTCCTACAGGACAACACTAGAGCTATTGTGAGTTATTACCAATGGGGTGGTTTTATCAAGTAGTTGGTATGTATTTTTTTCTCCTCCACCTATTCATTACAAATAGAAATGGTTTACTTTTGCTCTTTTATTGCTATGAAACGTTGTTAGTTTTTATAGCTCTAGATTTCTCCAGAAGGAGCAGACCTACATGGGCAAGGCCAAGTGGCCACCCCACACCTCTTCCCAATGAGGACTGAAAACGGGTCCTTCTCAAGGATCTGCTTGTGAACTCCTCCTAGCATCAGCCATTCCAGTCCCTTAGTGTAGTTCGTGGCACATGGGAGGTGCCTCACAGGTATCTAGAGAATAAAGCTACAGTGATGAAGCAGGGGTTGTTGCCATGGTAAGTGGCTCCCATTTGAGCCATTGAGAGGTAACTGGGAAAATGCCATGACTACCCGTGGCCCCCGTTAAAATGCTGAGATGTTCTGAAGGAGGACTCAGGTTTCTTTTGCATTACCATTCTTTGAAAAGTTGTCCACGTGTTTACAATGAGGGAGACCTCTGTGCAGAGTCCCTGAGAAGTAATGATAATTTAAGTAGAACAAGGTATGTGCCAGCTGTCTAGCACGGTATTGATCAAACTCTTGGTTGGGACCCATGGTAGGAAATGTATTCCATCACTGCCCAGTACCGTGGACATACACCTTCATATGTACTTACGAGTAAAACAGAAATAGAAGTCTCACGTGACAAGATTTCCCCTTGCTGTGTATGATGCATACTAATAGTTCCAACTGTTTCACTTTTTTAAGACTAATTTTTTTCATAATCTAATGGGTTATAAGTATAGCTTGGAAAACGCTGGTCTCGGAGGTGCTTACAACAAAACCCAACACTTGTGTAGATTCCAGATACACAGGAGGAAAAATACAGTTGACCGTTCTCCTGGCATTCTTTTCTAAAATGAACACTTTGTGTTACATGTAATTGGAAAAGGAGAGGGTTATTTTCAGAGAGGAGTATCCATTGTATATTTCTATACCTTATTTTTAAAAATTCTGAGTTTTGTCAGCTATTATTAATGTATCTCAATGAAACACAACTAAAGCCAAAAAAATAAACTGCAGTGTTGTAGTAAGTTAAATTATTTAACACTTGGAGAGAAGGGGTTTTTTGTTTGTTTGTTTTATCCTTCTACCCTTGGACCGTCTTCCTATTCCTCCTCCTCCAGACCTCAGGCCACTACCATTCACTGCCAGCTTCTGTGAAATTGACTATTTCAGATTCCACATATAAGTGAGGTCATACAGGATTTGTCTTTTGAGAAGGACTTTTTTAAGGAACACAGTTTGTAACTGTGCCTGCAGAGGGAATCGAAAGAGAATGGAATTTTTTCAGGTTGCAGCTTAAGCAGAGGTAGATGAGTTCTTCTTGCTGTGAATGGAATGGCAACTGTAATTCCATGGGAAGCTTGTATCTTGATGTTGTGGATGATAATGGCGAACATTTATTGAGGTTTTGATAGTTGTCAGGTACTTTTCGAAGCTCTTGACATGTATTCATTTATCTGGACCTCTCAAAACCACTGGGCTCTAGGCATTGTTTTCATCCCTATTTTATAGGGTGAAAACCTAGTGCAAGGACAGGGTAAGGTGGCACAAGCGGCAAGTAGAAGAGTTGGCGTGCAAACCCAGACAGTGTCCATATTAGCTTCTGTAATCCAAAGCCAATAATCAAGGCTGCATTGGTTTTGTTTTGCCTGGCAAATGGCCTCCTTGGGCTCACACCAAGGTGGGGTTGGGGGAAGGCCCATAGTCTGTGTCCGAGGGTCCCCAGTTTTCTGTCATGCCTGTCCTAGGCCTTTCACCCCCGAAATGCAGACCTTTTCATGGAAAGACAAACCTGCTGATCGGCCTTTCTTGGACAGAGTCGGGGGAGAGAAATAGCCTTGAGGGCTCCATTTCCTTTCCCTACACAAGCAAGAGTTTGTTTTAAGATGGAAATGATCATATTTATCATGGAAGAGCACTGCCAAGAGTAAAAACTTGAAATCATGAGAAGTGTGGCCATAGGGCCAAAGAACATTTTCTAAATACCTCTATTGACTAAACCAGTTGTTTCTTCTTCCTCAGTTGATCACGTGAGGCGTAACATACCCTTTTAGACCAGTGGTTGGATATCAAGAAGGTTTGTGTCCCACAGTATCAGCTTTTAAGAGCAGTGAAAAAATAGTGCGGAAGATAACAAGCAAGTGTATCTTTTTCCCTTGGGGTTCAACATAATATTGTATTTTGAGTCCCCCTATGTGTTTAAAATCTAAAAGGCTTGTGTTTTTCCTCCCAATAAGTTCTAGTCCTAGCCTCCAGTGTGGGTGCCCATGCATGTCACTGCATTGTTTGATCAGAGGAATTCCAACAGGTGCATTGAAATATACAGTCAGCTCTTTGAATTACTTCCTGCAAATTTGAATGGCTTCACTGGGAGGGAGAGGAAAAGTGAAGTGGGGAAAAAACCACAGTCTGTGGGCCAACTAATGAGGTGCTCTGCAGGCAACTGGTCAACCACACACCATGGGTGACCCACATTTTTCATGCTTCTCTGTGTCACCCTCAGGACTGAGATGGGCCATTCTTTACCAGCACAGGGTTATAAAACGCCTGAAAAGCACCACCCTAACAATCTTGACAAAATTAAGGTCTAACGGAGAATTGTGTTTGGGGAAAAACAAAATGATGTTAAATGTGTATCTGACCTTATTTTCCAGAAATACTAACTGAAAGCTCAGAAAACATTTGCTCTAGCAACAATTCAGATTCATTGGTGTTAAGACTGTTTCACAGTAGAAAAGAAAAAGAAATTAGAGGTTTAAAACTCAGAGCAGGAGGTAAAAATTACTACTCAGCAGGTAGTAAGAAAATTAACCGAAAAACTACAAATGATGAGAGAACTTACTTAGATGCCAGGAAACATGATCAATATACTGAAATCTGCAGCATTCATGTATTTTCAAAAAGCTTTTACCGCAGTGAGAAAAAATACAGACAAAAATGAACTAGGTACTTTAGTGCCTAGAGACAAATTTAATCAGAAATACACGAGAACCATAAAAATAATTCTGTAATATGTTCCTGAGCTACAAGGAAAAGTTAAACAAATAGAAAAATACTATTGTTGACAGTATGACTCAACATTATAAAGATGTCATTTCTCCCTGAGTTGAGCTATAAATTTATCATGATTCCAAATAAAACAAAAAACGGAATTTTTTCAGGAACTAATAAGCTGATTTTAAAATTTGTAAGGAAATTAAAAAAAGAAAGCCCAAAAAATCTGAATGAGAAAAACAGCAGAGACTAACTAGCCTAGTCCTTTCAGTTTTTAAAACATATAAAGTGTAGTAACTAAAATACTGTAATGGAACTAACATGAGTTCACTTCTTGGTGAGTCACAGATAGAAACTACAGTAGGTGAGTTGCCGCATAAAGGAAATTTTATTTGCTGCAAATAAGGAGATCATGGGGGGATGACTTCCAAAGCCCTGACTCCCAGAGCAAGGGTGGATGGGTTCCTTTTATTTACAGTTAGGGTGAATATTTAGAAAGGGAAGCCTTGTCCCATATGTAGAGGTGGGCATCAGGTCACACATGTGTCTTGAGGAAATATAGCTGTACGTACACACATTATATGTTATGTAAATGAGGTTCTTGCTTCTCTTTCGAAGTTTTAGTACTATGATGAGGTACAGGTAACTGTCAGTCACTCCATGGGTCACTCTGTGGTCCATCTGCACAGCTGTGAGGTGGGGCTAACTAAGCTCAAACTGGTCTGGGTGATCATTATTGCTTGAGGGGCAGTTTTGGTTCCCATCAAGGGATGCTATGCCCTCAGGTCTTTTGCCTGAGTTAAGAGATAAGCTGCAAAGAAGAGTTTAAGGGAAAATGTGGGACAGAGGTCATTGTGTACAAGAAGGCTAGCAATAAAGATCACATCCTAGGGTCTAGCTGGTAACAGTACTATTTCATGTTGGAAGGATCAGTGAAAGATACTAGGTAATCCAGGAATAGACCCAAATGCTTTCAGAAATTTAGTACATGATAAAAGTGGCATCTCAAATCAGTGACAAAATGACAGGCATTTTGTTATACAACATACAACAGGTAGTATTGGGCCAGCTGGACTGGCATCCAGGGGAAAAAGCTGGATCTATGCCTCAATCCTTGAATGAATAAGTCCAAATGGATTAAAGACTTCATTTTCTTAAACTTGTTTTTTAACCTGTACCCCTGGGGATAAAAATACATTATATGTTTATTTAAAAAATTTAAAAATTAATAAAAAAACAATAATGTATCTTTGTATTCATAGAGCTATCCCTTAATTAAAAAAATAACTGCTTATTGTTCCATTAAAAAAAAAACTTGCTTTTTAGAGGGGGGCAGGGCAGAGGGAGAGGGAGAGAGAGGACTCAAGTAAGCCACACCCTGTGGAGCCCAAATAAAGAGATCATGGGAGATAACTTCCAAAGCCCTGACGCTGAGAGCATGCCCTGAGCCAAAGTCAAGAGTTGGACGTTTAATCCACTGAGCCACCCAGGTGCCCCAAAGAGATTAAAGATTTTAATGTATAAAGTGAACCGAGAAAGTACTAGAAGCCATGGGAGAATTCTTCTATAACCTCAAAGTATGGAAGGGTTCTATCTATGACTTAAAACTCAGAAGACATAAAATAAGAAATGGGTTAATTTGGCCACACAAGAAGCAATTACAAAAATAACATAAGCAAAAATAA